AAATAAATAAATAAATAAATAGGTTTGATGGACATACTGGTTACGGTTTCTCTAGTTTCTCATCTATTAGCATCCATGTATTTGACCAGCGATTTTGGAGAAACTCACCGCCTTTCTGCCGTCTAACATTTGATCAGCCATGTATACAACAGACTTATTTCGGCCAATTTCGTAGTATTTACACATGCTACCATGCATTCTTTGTCTCTTAACAATATTTCAGAATAACAAGTCATTCTTTTGGTTGTGTTGTGTTTTAAAAATGTAGATGTTATCTGTGTAAGTAGCTGTGTCCTTAAACCTGGGACATCCCTTCACCACGCTAATTACCACAACCAGAGCCCCAGGCTATATGCTGGTTGTGCTCCTTACACCTATGAGGTCAACACCTCGTCGTGAATTTGAAGCGTCAAAAGGGTTTTATATAATAGAAGGTATTAACGTGCCCATTACATTACATGCAAACGGATCCTCAACGTTGAATCGGACCATACCTTTGGTAGCGCTTAGTTTCTATCACACCTCCACTTCTCTCCCGTCCTCAACCAGTCGCAACGGCAACACCCTGTCGAATGGCCGAGCGTACTCAGCAGGTGTTCACTGTCAGACTTATCACAATCATGACATCACCTTACGAAGATACTCAGCTCTCATTCCAATCTTATCAATGTTGACGGTTAGTTTCATGATTCTTTATCTTCCTCCCTTCTACCCCTCACCCCCTTCTGCCAGAGAGCACCATGTGGAATGACCGAGAGTGTGCTCAGGAGGAGTGTATATGGTCGTTAAAATGTTATCGCAATTATCTCGAAGAGAGCAGACACATTGGATGTCATGCTGGGCGCGATCAACAGAGTTAGGTGCTTGACTTTCTGGAACTCCTGATACAACTACTGAACGCATAATATCCGGATCAACTTCCGATGATCTTAGACACTAGTAGACAATTCCTTGGTAACGGCAACACTCCTTTTCTCTGAAGACAAAGGATTCCTTCAACTGGGCTCTGAGGGCTTTATTTTCCTCCTTGAGTAGCTTGTTTTCAACGAGAATTTCGTTACACCGGCGATTGAGCACAGAGATTTCCTTTTTCGCTTCAAGTAAAACATTAATAATAACTTTAATGTAAGAAGGAACACTTCCCTCATCTTCTTCGATTTGCTTCAGCAAGTCGGAATAAGAAGCAGTTCCAGCTGAAGGAGCAGTAGAATCTGGCATTGGCGTTATCGAATCCATGCAAGAACAATCCAAAGTATCGCAGCAGTATGCTAATGTTGATATAGAGGTCGTCGGACAGCTGGTGATGTAGTCGTATAGCAGTAAAGTATCAGAAGGGTATAGTGCCGAAGAGCGGTATGGAAATCGACCGCTAACGAAGACTGGCGACCGAGAACTTATAGTAGCTTATAATTACCCTTATAGCTGCAGTTTTAGAGAAAATCAAGATTTTGCCCGAATTCAAAAATTGGGCCATGGGGCCCATAGTCAGTACGGCATGCACGCTTCCCACTTGGAGACAGCTTCGAGATGATAGCAAGCGGCACGTTTGGTTGATAGTTACACTTCCACCGCAGTTCCTGCCCATGGGGCAATCTGGCATCACCCCTTCTCGTCGATGCATGGCGTATGCCTGGGTGGCACTGGCTACGTCGACGAGCATCCTGGACATTCCTCAACGCCGGCAATCTATACTTCAAAGGACGAATTCACGATTAGAATGAAGGTCGAAGAAGGAGTAATTCACCTAGTTGAGGGACCCGCGGACCTCCTAAGGGTGCGGACTGAAGCGCAATTGGCACCGAAGGAGTTGACCTCGGCGACCTATTAAGGCTCAATCTTGGCGCGGTGGGCCAGTGCACGCCCACCGATCATCTGATCACTCGCCGCAGGTCTATACGTGGCGAGTGATTAGATAGTGAGAGAGCGTAGTGTTGAAGAGGGCACAGCGATGAGAGTCGCATCAATGCTCAAATCAACGGGCAAGGAAGGGGTCCCATTTCTCGGGTTCTGGGCCGTTTCTCATGGTTCTTCCTTCTTTCGTGTACCACTCACCATCCCTAGGTTAATTTGAAATGGGTTGCTTTTCATCGTGAATTCGTCCTTTAAGGGAAATGAAGTAGATATTCCGTGCGAAGAAAATAATAACAGCACTTTTTTGACGTTGTTAGGTGCAGTTGGTGCGTTTGTGCTCCAAATGTTTCATTGAGTACCATAGCTGCGAGCTATTTGTTGCTAAAAAATGGAATTTCGAACACAACAGAAAGCACATGATAATAGGAAACTATCGCGGAAAGGGAGGAGAGGTATAGCACCGTTCTCTCGTTGCACGCGGGTATTCCTTAGGCATTTCTTCCCAGGCTTCCTTTGATGCTGCGTGCAATAACTGCAGATTTGGAGGTTGAGCTCGGAATGCCTTGCTCTTAATCACGGACCAGACTGAGAGTTCAGTGATTAAGATTAGGGGAGCAATAAGCTTATTCCTCGCGGCGACCGACTCGGCCAGCTCACAGCTTCCACCTGTCTTGAACGAGCTTGCCTCCGTGGGCTGAAGCGCTGTCCCGCTGGAAACACCACGGCTTGCTTCCAAGGTGGGATATGGACCAAGTCCTACGTTCCACTGTATGCACGTCCCTGCTAATCTTCACACACTAATCGGCGAAATTCAAGCGCGTCTCACCATTCTCCTTCAAATTTTTACTGATGCCGGATTAGCCGTCCAGCAATCTTTCCTCGTGACTACCGATATTTCCACTAAGAATGTGGTCGTTTTGACGGCTCAACATCGGCTCCACAGTGAGCATGCACTCAGCAGGGAAAACGATCGAGAGTTGCGTGTCGGCAGTGAAGCGCGCTAGTGACCTTCCAACTTTTTGGCCCTTCTGCTGCTTGTTGCTGTACGAAAGGAACTGGCACTTCTGCATGTGAGAGTACCATCACTGCAGCTTTACCCTTGACAATGCACCCCATCGATGACTTCGATACATTCAGCGATCTCCCCATCCTTCTGAAATAAAATATTCAACCCGGAAATGCTACACTTATCCCTTGGTTCGTTTCGTAAAAGAGCCATTATGTTGATCAATGCGGAAGTTTCTTGAAACAGTATAAGACATGGTGATTGATTAGCTGATTTGCTCCTTTTTGCTTTGTCATAGTGTACCCATCCCATTTCATTACAATATTGTACCTATGTTCAATGATTCCTCTCTCGGTTTGTTCTCCCATTGTAATCTACTTTGATTATGGTTACACGCAGATATTCTGCGTCTATGAATAAATAAATAAATAAATAAGCGCTGCTTACGAACTTGATGTCCATTTTTGATGGAGGCGCGATATTGCGCCATTTTAGCCTCCATCGGGCACCAACTCGGCGCCGCTTTAGCGCCATACAATTTTCGCCCCAATTCTGGGCAGAAAGCTAATCAGAAAGGTTGATGATGACCCT